GAGTTAGAATGTTTTTGATGTATTTATCTTATGCATGCTTAAGATAGAATACAAGGTAGCATTTTCAAAATACGTTTCAGTGGGAGAAGCTCAATTTGGACCACTTTCCCCCTACTCAGTGGTGGCTAACCTATGGCACGGGTGTCAGAGGCGACACTCAGAGCCCTCTCTGTGGGCACATACGCCAGTCCTAGGCCTTCAGCTGGGTTTTATAAAACCTTTTCGCTTTAGGCCTCAGCCACCATGTGCAAAAAAAAAAAAAAAAAGATTCAATCAGTCAATTTCAACTTCTCGCAGGAAAAAAGATCTTGCAAAGTTGGAATTGATTGATTGAACTTTTTAGTCCCACCCAGTCTGCCGTTACCACCACAGCCACGCCCACCCAATGGGCCACACCCACCTGGCACTCGACAATGTATTAGTGGGTTTTGGGTTGCAGTTTGGGCACTCAGTCTCTAAAAGGTTTGCCATCACTGCCCTAGATCCATTAGTGAAGATGTTTGCTAGCTGAAAAGCATTGTGTGTTGAACAAAGAAGCAAGGAGCATGGCAACTTTATTGCACAACATGAGTAAAAACATAACTTGTGGATTCCAATACAAGAGGAAGTTTCTCTTTAATGTCAAAGAGAAATTTGGACAGTTCCTTTCTCTAGTTCCCACTCAGTAGGCACGGTGACCACTTCAGATTCTCTGCGTGCTTCAGAATTCTGTTAATCGGAGAACTGACTTTGGAATTCAGAATTATGTATCTTTCCAGTTAGATGGGAAGCTGCAGTAATAAATATAGTTTAATTTTATAATGCTTCTGCAGTTAACAACTAACCTTTTGCAACTTAGTTACTTACATATTTATAACAGTGTTTTCTTATCACCCCGCTTTGAAACAAGTGAAGTAAATGGACTGTATGTACTTTTCTTAACCATCCTGGCGTTGTCAATTTAACTTTGGATATTTTGAATATTTGAATACCAATTCTCTTGTGCTGGTTGATGACCACAATGAAATTAAATAAGTAAGTAAATGGGTGCCAAGTCATACAGAATGCTAAAATTGAAAACCAGTTACTTGAATTGACTATGGAAGCTTATTGGTCAACAGTGCAGCAAGTTCAGCCTAGATATAATAGGTGAACACATCCCTCTCATTCATAGCCAAAGCATGTATTTTGAACCAGCTGCAGCTGCCAAGTCATCTTCAAAGGCAATTTCATTTAAAGCACATTGCAATAGTCTAACTTTTTGACAAATGAGTGTGAGTCAGTTTTGCAAGGGCATCCCGGTCTCTCAAAATGTGTTGCTTCAAAGGGGACGCAATCCTGATTCAGAATCAGCTTGGGGAATAGGATCGTGCCCGTTCAATCTGTGCATGTTTGTACCCACACAGCCCCTCATAGCCTCCAAATACTACTAGGTCACAACCATTACAACATCCTTGCCATGGTCTGGCCTGAAATGGCAGCATACAGTTGAGCATTATTAGCATACTGATGATGTCTCACCAAAGTAATAAATAACTTCTCACTGTTATCTACCATATTTTCTGGCGTATAAGACGACTTTCTAAACCATGAAAATCTTCTCAAAAGTCGGGGGTCGTCTTATTCGCCCAGTCGTCTTATACGCTGGAAAATACGGGTATTCTATTTTATTCCTTTACACATGTGGTTTGGCATATTACTCATCAAATGTCCAACAGTCAAGACCCCATCATGGCTCCACCAGCAAGAAGAAAGAAATATGAAGCCAGTTTCAAACTTAAAGTTGTAAACTTTGCCATGGAACATAATAACTGCGCTGCTGCAAGACAATATGGAGTAACAGAAAAGATGGTTCAGGACCGGAAAGCAAATGAAAAAGCATTAAAGAGTATGCCAAGGGGTAAGTGTGCATTAAGAAGAGGCACTCCACATTGGCCAGAACTTGAAAAACATGTAGCAGAAATGATGAATGAGCATCGCCAAAACGGTTATGTAGTGACACAAAATAAAATATGTTTGTTTGCACTTCAGTGGGCCAAATCTAACCCAGATCACAGCAACAGATTTAAGGCCACTGTAGCCTGGTGTACTAGATTCTTGGGAAGGCATAATATGGTACTGAGGCAAAAGATGAAAATTGCACAAAAATTATCTGCAGATCTTGATAGCAAATTAAATAGTTTCCATCGATACGTAATACAGCAGCGCACTAAACATGGCTATGCGTTAAGTAGTATTGGAAATATGGATGAAACTCCAATGAATTTTGATATGGTTGGAAATAAAACTGTCCATCAAAAAGGTGAAAAAACAATTTTAATTAAAACAACAGGACATGAGAAGTCCAGTTTTACAGTGGTACTAGTATGCACAGCTGATGGTGCCAAACTGAGACCAATGATTATTTTTAAAAGAAAAACAATGCTGAAACTCAAGTTCCCTGTTGGTTGTTTTGTACATGTAAATGAAAAAGGCTGGATGGGTGAAAAAGGGGTAAAGCTATGGCTTGATAATGTATGGAGTAGGCAACCAGGTGGACTTATTCAAAAACGTAGTCTACTGGTGTGGGATATGTTCAGGGCTCATTTAAGGCTTGCAAGAATAAACACAGATGCGGCAGTTATTCATGCAGGATTGACATTGTTGGTACAGCCACTGGATGTGTACCTAAACAAGCCATTTAAAGATCGCATTCGAGAACAGTGGAATGAATGGATGGTTAGCGGCGAAAAGTCATTCACAAAAGGAGGAAACATGCGTGCTCCACAGTTGGATGTTTTGTGCAAGTTTATCATAAAAGCCTGGAACAATATTGATGCAGAAACAGTAATCAAGTCTTTCAAGAAGTGTGGCATATCAAATTCATTAGATCAGTGGTTCTCAACCTTTTTAATGCCGCGACCCCCAACCGGTCATAAGTCGAGGACTACCCAACTGGTCGTAAGTCGAGGATTTTCCCGGCCCAGGAGCACCGCGCATGTGTGGTGTCGCCCCCTGCGCTGGCCGAGGCATAGCTGGCAAGCGGCAGAGACGGAGCAGGCTGACCATCGGTTGGGCCACCAGCTGGCCCAGCCCAAGGGAGGTAAGGCACCCACCAGGCCCCACCCGCACAAGCAACCCTCCCTGCGCCCGCCAGCCTCCCACCTCCCATCCCTGGCCCTCTTTTACTTACATTTTTTAGTAGTTGCTCAGCAGGGAGGGGTGGAAACTTCCAGACAGCTCGCCTTCGCTGCAGACAACTTGCAGCACCGTTTGCAGAATGGGACTTTTCAAAAGCCAATAGAATAAAAGGGAGTAGCACAGCTAAGGAAAAGGGGGAAAAAATGGCGGACTGTGTTGTTTGGCGACCCCCATGAAATGGTCATTCGACCCCAAATGGGGCCCCTATTCAAGAGAGTCTATTCTATTGGCTTTCAAAAGCCAATAGAATAAAAGGGAGTAGCACAGCTAAGGAAAAGGGGGGGAAAATGGCAGACTGCGTTGTTTGGCGACCCCCGTGAAATGGTCGTTTGACCCCAAATGGGGTCGCGACCCACAGGTTGAGAACCGCTGCATTAGATGGTATGGAGGATGACTACTTGTGGCAAGATAAAGAGGAAGCCGAAGCTGAGACCACACCATCTGATACGGAATTCAATCCATACAATGACTGCCTTACAAATGTATCACAAGATGTCATTGATGTACTTATGATATCAGATGACGAACAGGATGATTTTGAAGGCTTTTAAAGGGAAACTGTCACACCAGCAAAACCTGTAAAAATAGCTTGCAGTTATGATGGGCGTTGCTGACTCGACAGGGACTTGCCCAGCACTTTCTCTCTCTGTTGTTTATTATCTTCCTCCTATCATCATCAGTTCCAGTTTGGTTGAAGCTTAGAAAACAAACAGCACGACAGCTCCCATGGGTTTATTGTCTTATCCTTCCTTTCAGCTTTAGAGAGAATTAGGAAAAGTTTAATCCACTTGCACTGTTTTATGTTTACATGTTTGATGACAAACAGCTTTATGTTTATAAAGTGATAGTTTTCCTGCTAAGTACCTGCATGTCATAAGCATTTGAATTAAAATTATCATATTGAAATCAAATCTGATGTTTTTTCATTTTTATTTGGTGTGTGTTGGAAGAGGGGTAGTCTTATACGGCGAGTATAGCCCAAACTCTATATTTTAACTGGAAAAGTTGGGGGTCGTCTTATACGCCCCGTCGTCTTATACGCCGGAAAATACGGTATTTATGAGAGAGAGCTTTGTTACTGGAAGAGTCATGTGTGCTTGACATCTCTTCCCCCACACATTCATATTGATTACTGCTGTATGCTCAGAAAGGAGTAGAATTATTGTAAACCAGCGATCAGCAAACACTGATGAGAGATCCAGGAGAAGCACTTTTCCCCCACATCCAGGTCCCAGCAGAGGTCATTAATCAAAGTCCTACATGTTTCACTCCTGTACCTGAGCCTGATTCCTGCATCTGTTTCTTCTAGGACAGTGGTTCTCAACCTTTTTAATGCCGCGACCCCCCAACAGGTCGTACGTCGAGGACTACCCAACCGGTCATAAGTCAAGGACTACCCAACCGGTTGTAAGTCGAGGACTTCCCTGCCCGGGAGCGCCGCGCATTCATGGTGCCGCCCCCTGCGCCGGCCGAAGCGTAGCAGAATGGGACTTTTAGCGGCTCAGCAGGGCAGAGACAGCCTGGACAATTCCTATTGGCTTTTGAAAGCCAATAGAATTAGACACTATTCAAGAGAGTCTATTCTATTGGCTTTCAAAAGCCAATAGAATAAAAGGGAGTAGCACAGCTAAGGAAAAGGGGGGAAAAATGGCGGACTGTGTTGTTTGGCGACCCCCGCGAAATGGTCATTCGACCCCAAATGGGGTCCCGACCCACAGGTTGAGAACCGCTGTTCTAGGATAAATCTCAAAACCTTCCCTAGTAAAAGAAAATAGTTATTGGTAGCATCTTTATAGCTATTTTAAAACTTCATTAAAATCTGTATTTTTTTTTCTTTTTAGTTCCTTCTCCGAAAAACGTTACTGTAAAATTATATAACAACAACATCTCTGTATGCTGGGATTATGGAAGCCCATCCTTAAGACCTTTATTTACAGTGCAGATCAAGTGCTACGGGTAAGACTATTTTAATTTCGAACTCTGCGTTTTGTTTTATAATGCTTTTCTCAATTTTTGTCACGGATTTTGTTGCCCAGTAAATCAGCAAAAGCAATAGACACACATTTTCTTTTTACTTTTTAAAAATAGTTTGACTATAAACTGACCTTTTTTTTTCATTTTAGGTAGCACTGGTGTTTACAAGGAAATTGATACTTGCATCAACATAAAGCAACATTATTGTGATCTTACCAACAAAACTGATAACTGAGAAACTTTCTGGTTAGGAGTGAAAGCTCTTTCTGGACAACACCAATCTGAATACGTTGAACAAAAATTTGACATTCTCCGGGATGGTAAGTGATCATTCATATATACAGTTTAGAATCAGGGGTTCTCAATCTTGGCAACTTTAAGACTTGTGGACTTCAACTCCCAGAATTCCTCAGCCAGCTGGCTGAGGAATTCTGGGAGTTGGAAGTCCACAAGTCTTAAAGTTGCCAAGGTTGAGAACCCCTGGTTTAGATCAAAGGTATTTACCACTTTTTAGAAGTTAAATATTAAAGATTATTAATGATGCCACCTAGTTTGGTAATGAAATGTCTGCAAGGCAACAGCCAAGCTCAAAGAGCACCAAGCACACCACCGTCCTTCAAGTTAGGAGAAGTTCCCGTCTCCTGAGAAAGGGGTGCATATCGGCTCTTTCAATGCTTTGTTACTTTTATTTTCCTCCAAGATGGGGTACAGACAGCAACAGGACAGGATTAACTAGAATGGATCAGAAGCACGTCGTCCCAAACATATTCTTGCACTCTCCAAATTTTATAAGGCAGATGGGATTTTGAGTTTTGACAATATTCATCACTTTGTAAAAGTGGCCTCTTCCTGCATAATTGTTCCCAGAAGGTGACTTATACCATTGCATTCTATTTCTATATAAATAAGGATTTTATTAGAGTGTTGCGTTTTGTTGTCAAAAGTTGATACTAATAAGAAATTTTGCAATTCTTTCAGGCCAAATAGGACCTCCAAAGTTCAATCTTTCCATTGATAATCAGGATATTGTAGTCAATATTGAACCGCCTTTATTTCCATATGGTGATCTAATTGAGGAGTTTACCTACAAATTGTTCATTTGGAAAAGGGAAAACCCAGAAGAGGTATATTTTAAGACTCTAATTTTTCTTCCTAATATTTGTGCCTTTGATGCTGTATTCAAAAAAAGGCATTAAGCCTTGTGAACTTAGGCATGGCTGCTCCTGCTACCTCTGACACTGGTGGTAGCAGAATAGAGAATGGCAGGTGAAGCTGTATGTCACCAATAATCTCTTATTTGGCAAGATACCTCCTGCCAGTGCTCACTTATCAGCGCTTCAAGGTGGACCACACTAGGAAACCAAAATCATGCAGTTCAATATTATTTTTATTGTAAAGATATAGTAGCAGAATCTTGCAAGACTGAATCTGACTCTTAGGAAATTCAAAACTCACAGGTTTGGAAACAACATTCCAGAAAACTGTGTGTGCTGTACATTTATTTCTGCTTATTATGTTTACATTTCTTAAAGGAAGTTCTAACTGCAATGTATCTCATTTTTTTTATAGCGACAAGAAGTTATCTCAGATGACTGGTATCTTGAGCCATCCACTTTACCTCTGTCTGTTTCTTTGGATACCTCTTACTGTATTTCCACTCAAGTCTTTTCACCGACACTAACAAAGGTTGGTGAAGAATCAGAAGAAAAATGCATCTCACCAACTCCCAAGTCCCGCCTAGGTAAAGATTTTAAATCTTCAGTAAATAGATAAATTGTACAGAATATTCCGTTCTAAAGCTCAACACATTTCTATCAGCATCTCATTTTTACATGTCTGTGGGAAAGGGTTTTCTCTCAGTGTATTGCAAAGTATTACTTATTGAAAAATCCTGAGGGGCAGAAGAGAGCAAAAAGGCGTAAGTTGGATTCTCCTCTCTCTCCCCTTCTCCAGTTTTCTTTTCTCTTTGCTTATAAATTCCATCTAGTAATATTGAGAGAAAAAAACCATTATTTTGAGATGATAAATTTAATATATCTGATTTTAAAATGCTGAAATTTGCATTTCAGCTTGCAGAACATCATGGTAAAAGTAACATATAGTGTATGTCTAGGTTGAACCTTTTTATGTACTTTGAATTAAGCATCATTTTGTTCAGTGGAGCTTCTTCCCTACCAAATTTTACAAAAGATTGTGCTTTTAAAAGAATGAGCTAGAGAATCAAAATGTATAGTTTGGAATAGTGAGAAATTAGGTGGAGTTTCCATCTGGATTGTAGCATATTTCTCTTCCCCATTTTTTAATAAAAAAAGAGGAAGACTATTCAAATTTTAACTCTTGAAAAATAATGCACAATTCTATACCTTTCCAAATTACTGGTTTTCTCAATTGCTGCTAAGTGATATCTTTTTATGAAAAATGAATATATTATATGATGTATTATACTGACAATTGAAGTTGCAACTAATGAATATCTATTTCAGGGGTCCTAAATGTAGGTAATTCTGACCATAAATTTAGGAAATAGAATTTTTTTTTAAAAAAAATGTCTAATCTTTCTAAGTCTATTGGATCAAGAGTTTCAGGCTGGAAAAATTGCACATGGAAAGTAAATTCTAGCTTTATAAACAATTGCATTATAGGAATTAGTGTCACAGTCTCATTGAAAACTCTTCAAGGATATATTAACATTTTGACACAGTACGGATTTATTGGTATAGTCATAGCAGGAATTATTACCAAAGTGCATCTGTAGTTGACACTGCAGTTATTTATAAAGTTATTCCGAAACAACTAATTCCTGCCAATTAATTAAAATCAGTAAATGAGAGAAGAGATAGTCCATCCTATTGAGGAAAAGAAATGTTGGAGTCCTGAATCTGTTTTATAAGACTTGGCAATTCTATTCTGAGCTGTCTTTTTTTAAGTAGCATATTTTTTAGAAAAATATTTATATTTTTATACATTTGTACACAGTTTAACATCCAAGCACTAATGCAAGGTTTAAAGCTGAGTGAAATATTTCTACCGATATTATTTCTAACTGTGGTATGTACTTGTTCTGCTTTTCTAAGTGGTTCTGTCATCTTTGTTTTCCATGAAGCTTTTTTTCTCATGATCTCTGTCCTGGAAACTATATCTGTATAATTGTACTATTGTCCAAAGTTGAAGCTCCCCTAGTTGTACAAAATATTATTGTGGAAGTATTTCAGTCTGTTGGTGTTCTCTACCCCTAATTTGCTATAATATCAAGCTAGCTAGCTACCTCAGTATAAAATGATTTTATAATTAGATTCATTTAAATACACTGGATTATGCTTTTTTGGACAGTGGCTGCATACATTTGTGTGTTTAGAGAGTTGCATGAGTTCATTATGCTTTATTAAAGAAGGACCAGTTAACTGCTGGATAACCATATATCTTCTGTTTTTTTGAGGTGTATAGAAAATGTACATCACATGGTGATAATAGGCATTCAGCTTTAATTTTATATAATAACGTGTCTTTTTTAAATATTGTAGGTTTTACACTATTGGTATGTTTTGGAATTATTGCCTTGGTTATTCTGGCAATCATTCTTGTCGTAGTCTTTATAAAATTTAAGGAGAGAAAAATTACGCTTCCAAAATCTCTGGTAAGTTACCCCAATATCTTTTGTTCCGTCTGAGCTAACAAGCTTTATGTTTATTGCAAGGTTACTTTAACATAATCTTGCAAATCTGAAAGTATCCCACCTATCCCTTCCTTTTACTCTCCCAAAAACTAGGGAGGGTCTCTTCTGAGATGCTTTTGCCACTGCTTCTCCTTCACACTCAATTTTCATTTATCAGATCTTTGTCCAGTACAGAGTAGGCAACCTTGGCTCTTTTATGACTCGTGGACTTCAACTCCCAGAATTCCTGAGCCAGCATGGCTGGCTCAGGAATTCTGGGAGTTGAAGTCCACGAGTCATAAAAGAGCCAAGGTTGCCTACCCCTGCCCCAGACCATTACAGTGGGGTTATGAGTTCGACATTTCTGTCATTAGAAGTGCTCTCTAGTAAGTCTTACGTTGCTGCAATGAGGCTTTGCTTTGCGGAGAAAAATATCAGGGGCCCTTCACTATCCCCAGAACCCATAGAAGGCTAGTACCAATCTCAATATTTATTCAGCCATGATAACATTATAAATAAGATCAGAAAGCCATAGTAAAAAGGGATCCTAGTGAAGTCCTAAAAACACCTTGTTCTTTGTTTAGCCAAATTATTTGTCGTTAAGGTGGACATTAATAACCAGTGTTTTTGGATGCTTAAGGATACCATTCGTTTGGTCTTGTGATAATTGCTTGTAGTAATTTCAACATAATAACTGGGCATATGCCAACTAATTCTGGCAATCAGAGTTTTACGGAGGTTGTTTTCCATTAACTTCCTTAGTGCTCCTATGAGATTTCTCAGAAAAAGGTGTAACAGCCTGACAGTATGTTTTTGTATTCAAATATAAAACAAAATCAAACAGAAGCAAAGAAATATTTATTAAGCAATACTAATTTCAGAATCCTGTTACATACTAGTTGCAACAAATCCAGCAACTAGTATTAATCTCTCTTAATTATTATTCATGCAGAAATACCCCCAATCAAAGCAACCAATGTTGATAATAATAGCAAAGCATGAGTTATATATGCATCCCCATCAATCTTATAGTGTGGCTCTCGGTGTAGGTCTTTATATTTGTTATCTTACTGGATACATTTAACTGTTGCATCATCATCATCATCATTATTATTACTATTAATATTATGGTTCATTGCATAGTCAGCCAGATGTTCAGACTGGGATTGGCATTCTTGTCTACTTATCGAATCCTTCCCAAGGACCTGGGATAGGCAGATCTGGATGTTTGATGGTATTACAGATAGCGTCGCAGGATGAAAGCTGTTCCCAGTAAAGCTGCCTTTTGCAATTGACTGATGGTGACATTGTCAATGCCAATGGCGTTCAAGTTGTGCTCTAATTGTTCATTATTGTTATTACTATTATTTTAGTTGGTTGAACAATCAGACAACTGTTTAGACTGGATTTTTATTTTTATCTGCCTATTAAATATTTCCCAAGAACCTGGGTTACAGTGTTAAAGGTATATGATTGCTACTTGTTTTCATGTAGAAAGCAGTAATATAAAGTTTTATTAATTGGATGAACGTAATATCAATATTGTCCAGAATGTTAATTGTTGGTCTTCCAGTATCTTTCCTCTTAGTTTTATTTCAATTTCCATTAAAACTACAAACCAAATGACTTGTGAATCACTGATTACACATGTTTTGGTCACATTCCATGACCAAGTTTATGAATTTTAGAATCCACAATTGGTAGTGTATCATCAAATAAAATGTTTAACTTTCGAATGCATGTTGTATTATAAAGATATTTCATCTAAATTCACTACTCAGTAGTTGAGGAAAATTTTCAACATATTCCAGTGATCTGGACTTTGGATTTATTATATGTTATCAGGTTGTTGACTCATAGCAATTACATAGTTTTTCTCCATGATCCTGATCTGTTAGGATTATTGATTAATTAATTGCCTATCACATTTATATGGTACCACAATCACACAGAGACTCTCAGTGTCTTAGCTGATTATGTCAAAATAACAGATACCACTTAAAATATATAGTCACATATATTAACTTGGTCTGTGTTCCCCTTTGCTCAGCATTCATTCGGTAAACTTTCAGCTAAAGGTTATGATGCATGAACAGTGCCACAGGACTTTACAGGTAGTCCTTGATTTATAACCACAATAGAGACTTCTGCACCTTTTTTTTCCCCATAGCCCTTAAGTGAGACCATGAGTTGCAACCTCTTACTGGCTTTCTCCATTGACTTTGCTTATCAGAAGCCATTTGAGAAGGTCACAAATGGCAATCACATGAATGCAGGACACAGCAACTGTTGTAAGTGCAAGCTGATGGCCAGGCACTTGGAGTGCAGTCATGTGACGGCAGGGACATAAGTAAGAGAATTGATCACAAATCACATTTTTCAGTGCTGTTTTAACTTAGATAGCTAAAGGAAGGGTCCTAAATCAAGGACCAGTTGTACAGAGGGAGAGAGAATTTGTTCAATCTCAACTAGGAAAAACTTAGACAGATCAAGATCTCTCTGTCCTAGTTTCACTTGCCAGATTTGGGATAGTTTAGCCCTCTGCTATAATTCCTATTTCATCCCTTTCTGCAGTTCTAAAAAATGGAATGGATGACTGACTTCTTGTTGTTACATTTTTTTAAAGGTGGCTGTGGTAAGAAACCAAGTCAGCAATGCCGAATTTAAGTCAGAATGCAAATATGACACTATAACATCGACATCCTACAAGCCAATGGTAACATGTGAAGATGAAAAACCAGTAGAGAAATTAGATGTCGCTGAGAAGGTAAATACCACTGATCCCAATTATAGCAAAGAAGTAGATATCGATGATTCCCAAGGAATCCAAAGAGCAAGGAGCATCCAAGAGGATATGGCTGTAGAAATCTCTGAAATTGAACAGATTCATGAAGACAATGTCACAGATTACTCTAAATCAATCACTGGCCAAGACACATGTCCTGATCTTCAAAATCTGGATCTTCCCAGAGCAGATGTCCAAAAACCCACTGTCCTAAGGTGCTCAATAAAACCATCTGGGTATGACAAACCCCACTGGGTAGACCTAAGTTCTGGAGAAGAATTCTGATGACCCTCCAAAAATTGGAAAAGCTGTTTTTCCTATGAAAGAGCATTATTGGAAACTTCATCAGAAGCATCCACAGCCATGCTTGTGAGCACTTTAATCCTTGCAATACAGTGGGACTTCATATAGCTTGATGGTGTAAAACCTGAGATGAGCACTTGTAAATGTCAAAGAACTGGACTGAAGCTACACTCCTGTAGATACTTGGTAAAAATAAGTCTTATTGCATTCATTCCATTTTGAATAGGTATTCGTAAGATTCTAATAGAATGGTTTCATGATATGCCAAGAAGCTGCCTTGATATACTTTTATTAAGGAGCCGGTATTTTCTAAATATGTTAAGACTATAAATCCTATCATTCTTTCCTAGTGGTCTTGATGATTGTGTGCTGGAATAACTAGAGAGCACTATTCTGCCCTTTGTTCTCAGAGCAATTATTTTTCTCCTGCCAAAAGTATAAAGACGGTTAAAGATAGAGGGATTAATTGACAAGAGGCTTCTGTCCATATTGATTATTAGAAAAGACTGGGAATATTACAAACGTAGTTTACTATATGTAGTAAGGGCAGTTTGTGCAGTTGGCTTTTTGCTGATGGGAGAAAAATACAAAGAGTCCAACTTTTAAAGGAATACTAAAAAAGCATACGTTTCAGCTAAGGCATTACCGTTAAGAACTTGGGAAGACCATAGTAAGTAAATGGAGCTATGTTGTAATCAAGGACTTTCACTTTATGTAAAAAGGCTTACTGGTTTCTGCATGTGTTAGATCTGTACACTATATATGACTCATAAGTGTATGAACATATGTTATCTTTACAGATATGGAAAATACTTGCATCATTTATAGCAAATAATTGGGCCACGGTAAATACTTGGGCCATTTGTTTAGTGCCTATATTTACAGTATACATTTTGCCAGGTGATTATTAATCTTCACTTTGCGTTGGAAAGTGTTAAACAAGTAGTTTACAGCTGTGACACATGAAATGGCCCGCCACCATTAAGGCTCTTGTTTCTACATACAGTCCATAAATTCAGGGAGATATAATCACCTACCTAAACCTGGTATCTCCAAAAGTGCAATTCCCAGAATCCTTTGTTGTTGTTGTTAATTGCGAAGTCGTGTCTGACCCATCGCGACCCCATGGACAACGTTCCTCCAGGACTTCCTGTCCATTTAAGTTCACACCTATTGCTTCAGTGACTCCATCCAGCCATCTCATTCTCTGTCATCTCATTCTTCTATTGCCCTCAATCTTTCCCAGCATTAGGCCCTTCTCCAGTGAGTCCTTCCTTCTCATTAGGTGGCCAAAGTATTTGAGTTTCAACTTCAGGATCTGGCCTTCTAAAGAGCAGTCGGGGTTGATCTCTTCTAGGACTGACCGGTTTGAACGCCTTGCAGTCCAAGGGACTCGCAGGAGTCTTCTCCAGCACCATAGTTCAAAGGCCTCAATTCTTTTGGCGCTCAGCCTTTCTTATGGTCCAACTTTCACAGCCATACATTGCCACTGGGAAAACCATGGCCTGGACTATACGCACTTTTGTTAGCAGGGTGATGTCTCTGCTTTTTAGTATGCTGTCTAGATTTGCCATAGCTTTCCTCCCCAGGAGCAAGCGTCTTTTAATTTCTTGGCTGCAGTCCCCATCTGAGGTGATCTTGGAGCCCAGAAAAATAAAATCTGTCACTACCTCCATTTCTTCCCCATCTATTTGCCAGGAATTGAGAGGGCCGGATGCCATGATTTTGGTTTTCTTAATGTTGAGTTTCAAGCCAACTTTTGCACTCTCCTTCTTCACCCGCATCAAGAGGCTCTTTAGTTCCTCTTCACTTTCTACCATTAGAGTGGTATCATCTGCATATCTTAGGTTGTTGATATTTCTCCCGGCAAACATAAAAATCTGAGACTTGTACTCCCGATAGCACTGAAAGTACCAGATTAGTGAAGCTAGACTAATCCATTGTACTTTACAAACAAAGGTTTCATCTTCCTTGACTCTAACTAGTTTGGTAACACTACAATTTATTTGAGAGGTAGCGAACTGTAGTGGTTAAGGTATTGGACTATGACCATAGAGAGCCAGGTTCAAGTCTACCCTTAGCCACAGAAGTTCACTAGGTGACTGGCCCAGTCATTCCAGTCAGCCCAGTGTTCCCCACAGGGTTGTTGGGAGGAGGAATGGCAAAGTAACTGGTATCTACACGGCTTTGATCTTGTGAGGAAAGGCAAGATATAAATCAGTAATACTTAGATCTGGACCCCAATAGATGTTAAACGTTGAGATGACTATCATTTTATTACAGGATAGCTTTCCTTGACAGTACGTATCTTGTAGCAACTATATCAAAATAAAGAATCAAGGGCAAAAAAATACAGGTAGTCCTTGCTTAACATCTGCCCAGTTTAACAATCATTCATAAGTTACAATGATACTGTAAAAGTAACATTAGAGCCAGTCCTCAAACAACCATTTCAGCATCCCTGTGGTCACAAGTTTGAGATTCCGTACTTTACACCTGGCAGGCGTTCATGACTCACAGCGTTTGCAATTATGTGATCATCATTTGCACACTTCTCCCTTGACTTCCACAAGCAGCATCAATGGAGATGCTGGCAGTAAAATTGTAAGTCACGATCACACAATGTCTTGTTTAACAACCGCAGGTGTTTCACTTAATGAGGTTGTAAGTCTACCAGGGCCACAGGATGTCCCACTTAACAACCACATTGCTTAGCAACTGAGTTGCCAATTTCAATCATTAAGCGATCACTACGTGTAAAGTTATCTGTATCTCCACTCTTCTTTTGTTAGCAAAAAGCAAACTGAAATTTGCTGAATTAGCAGACTAGAAACATTTTATAGACTTACTCATAAGGTTATATTCATAGATTCTCGTCTCCGATTCTCCTTGTATATCTTCTTGACCTTACGATTGTCGTGTCAATGCCTCAGTTCAGGTACACAGTCACACTATGTATTGTGGATTTGTTGTGATCCAATACAGTTTAACCTTCCTTTTTGGATTGTTGTAGCACATTGTAAGGTAAAGGCTATGGCAACAGTTCAGTAAACAAATTATCCATTAAACAACCGCTATTCAAATTAGGAACACAACTTCTGAAATTGTATCCTTACAGCTTACAAGATACTGCAAGCAACAGCTTAGGAATAAAATATCTCCCAATTACATTGTCATTTAGTTGACTGGGAGGGTAGCTTTTTAAAATTTGATACACAAAAGATATGCTTGCTTGGGGGGAAAGATTCAGATCTCATGACAGCAACACACCAGATGCTCCAGCCTCATAAATTAGGAGAAGATTATGCATAGCCAGCTGCACCATATAAATGCCCAGTTTTTTATACTACACCATGACTCTTTGTATTTGTCATATGGTCTAGCATCTGGTCAGCCTAGTCCACCTCCTATATATCTGCTGGAGTCAGACAATATATTTATTTTGGTGTTATTTATGTTCAGAGTTTTTTCCTATATTGGATTGTTGTTTTGGTCTTGATGGTGAGAAGAACATACACTATCAAAAATGGTCAAGAAAATGAAAGAAGCAAACCATAAATTGATACTAGGAGAAAATACTGAACAAGGCAAAGGCAGCTTACTCTGAAGAGTTGGGGTTTTATACCTAATGGCACAAGTTTGCAATATATGATGGTGTGGGGGGTTTTTGGTGTGGGGGGTTTTTTTGGTATGTTTTTCTTTGGATGACTAAGCTTTCTAAATTTAAAAACCATAAAACTAATTTCTTATCTACAGGATTAAGGCATTCTGTCTCCCTGTAGATACAATGTAGTCTGACTTTATGGCATTCAGGATCTGTTTACAAGTATTAAAAAGAAAGTAAATATGCTTTGATTTTTCAGAATGGCTGAAAAGTGTTTATTTGTATTGCTGTTCACATTTGTAGAGAAGCATTCAACATAGGAACTATTGTTTCGTACTCTGAATTGGCCTTGAGTGTCTTTTAATAACATCACATACCGTAAATCAGAATGTTTGGTGAACATTTGTAGCAATTTCCTTATTAGACTGAAATTTGTTAAGAACCCATTCCAGTGACTAAATAAAATAGTAATTTTGAGGAAACCTCTCAGACAATACCACAAGTATCCCAAGACTTTCTTTAAACACACACACACACACACACACACACACACACACAAAATATTTCACAAAGGACACTTATCCAGTCCTAGTTTTCAGCTGTTGCTTTTCAAACCTTTGATGCTCCAAAGTTTCATTTTGGATAAACTAGTTATTTTCTCAATATGTTTATCCAACTGTGTTATGGCACTATTTGTATCAAAAGTAGTAAAATGTTCAATTCTTGTTTCTCTACAGTCTTACATATAATATATGTGCTATCTTTTCAACAGTTTTATTAGCTGTGCAGTTTGGGACATAAAAAATAGAATTCATTTCCTAATACAACACTTTACTATCCCAAATTCATATTTAAAACTTACTTTCAACGACTGAAAAAATTGAAACCAGTTCTGGCACCTTTCCTATTTTCTCTGACACTTTAATAACACAAACTTAGAAACATCAGTATGTACTGTATGATCATTCAAGAGTTAGGAAAACAAGAATTTACAGGACTAGAAAATTAATTATTAATGCTGAATATTTTGGTCACAAGTTCCAATTTGATTTCAAGCTAACATTTTAGTATAAATTAAGGTGCATATATCCTATCAAATAAATACTTGTACTGTGTTTGAAGTTTGGAATATATCCACATTATTTAACATCAAAGGAATCTCCTTATTACATAAAATACATCAAATGCAGAAAACTTTCAGATCTTTAAAATCAGAGAATGGCTTCAGGTCCAAATTTCATGAATAAGTCTGGAATTCTTTTGGGTATATAATCCCTTTTAAACAGAATGTTCAGTTTGAATTTTGTAAAGATATAATTATGATTAGAAATGCACATGTGTAAGTATGTACATAGCAAGATTTTGCTTTTGTGTGATTCATTTCCGATTCTTTTGTTATGTTTTCAGTGGTATTTTGCTCATTGTCTTAATAAATGTTTTTAAATTAATTCGGAAATCCTCTAATTACTATTGTAACATTCATGTTTTATACAGCATTTTATTTTTTAACATATCATTGTTTGTTTAAATCTGTTTATGTTTTAAAAACAGCTGTTTAAGAACACCACTTAATTGTGAATGGCTAAGAAAGCAGTTTCCTTCAGAGTACAATACAGCAATATCAGGAGAGAGTTTCTGGGACCATCAATCTAGAAAGAAGTTTAGTAAGAGCTTGAAGTATGCAAGTTACAAACCATATAAATTTCAGAAATATTGTCAGTAGATGGCACTCTTGTTTTGCATTCAGCAAACATAGAAGGCATCATCTGGACAGTAAGTGATTCCAAGAGACTGGGAATCTGATTTTCATACACAATGTATAAATTTTTCTGATGATACATTACACTATTTCCAGCAAACCTTATATAAAATGAAGCCTTTCATGGTACTGACTGATTGATAACAAAACATGTATGTATCACATTTATAGACTGCTGTAATCCCAAAATTATTGCTAGATTGCAAAGATAAAAATACACAGGACAAAACCAAAACCCTGTGGGAAATATATAAACAAAAACCAATCTATAAACCCAGCCAAGGTAGCATCAAGGCCTACATGCTCCTTAAGAACTCTGTCTTTTGTTTCTTCTGGAAAACAGCCAAAGCAGTAGCCAACCTCACATCCACTAGAACAGAGGTCCCCAACCTTTTGGGCACCAGGGACCAGTTACGTGGAGAGAGGTTTTTCTGCGGACCGGAGGGGGAGTGGTTTTGTGTGCTGCCTGCATCCTGCGGATGGGGCTTTCCTTCTTTGTGCAGCCTGGTTATTGGCATGCTGCAGCCCGGTACTAGTCCACAGACCGAGGGTCCGGGACCCCTGCACTAGAAGGCCACTTCAAAGGATTGGTGTTGCCACCAAAAACAGTGACTTCTAGCCTTGGCACTTTCACCTCCCTAAAATGGAGAGTTGCTAGCAGTTTCTTCCAATGTATCAGTTCTTCAAGAATAGCCCTGGTTAGGAAACACATTGTCAAGGACTACTGGAACTCTTAATTTGCCTAGGGTTTTGAGATTCACAGTGGTTCTGTTTTGCTACAATTCAATTTAAGTCTCCTTTTGCCCATCCAGAGCTTCACAG